CCCGCGGGCTGCGCGGTTTGAGGTAACCCGTGTCCCCAACCGCCGCCCACGGCCGTCGGGGTCTGCCGCCTCTTACCCACGGGCAAAAGGGAAAAAATGGCCTCAGACTCCCGCTTGGCTGTTTGTGCAGAGTTGCAGTCAGCCTTACTTGCAGCTATTTAGAATGCTTACTTAATGGTTACAAAATACGAGTACCAAAACCAAGGTATTGCAAAAATACGAGAGTGCAGAAAACCGGCAGGCTTAACATTGTTGGTTACTTCAAAACAGAAACAACATGCTATGTTTTTCCATCATCCAGGTGTTAATTTTGAGATTACATTTTTAACAGGGCTTTTACTTAGTTAGTTATTTTCTTTAAACCAGTTGATCCAAATGCACATTCTTAGGTGCTCAGGCTTGATTGTTTTGTTCTTCTTAGGTCATTAGAGTTTTCTTTATATTTGTTTGGAAGAGTCGGAGTTGTGCAATGTCTGAGTAAGATGGCCTCTTTTTTTTTTTTCTTCAGGAAAAGAGCAGCTTTGAATAAGTCACATTTTATAAAACATCTCACATGTCAGTGAGTACACTGTGTGGCCAAAGAAAGTACAGCAGTCGGCCTGTTAAATCCATAACCTACAAAGAAAATGAGATATCGTAATAGATTTAACAGATAACTGTATCAAGGAATGTTAATACTGTGCCCAAGTATTTTGGAAGATACTTGGATGCACCTTTCTTGTCATGGGGGTGCACAGTGCTCTCATGACTGCTGCCCTGTGATATCGGGTCTGGGATGCTCTAATTAGAAGGTAGTATATCCACCCTTCACAGTGTCTGGGTGATCAGCGTCCCTGTGTTTGCCACATGTAACACTTCTGAAATCAAATTTCAGCTTTAAAAACACCACTGCAAATGGTAATCCGGAAATGCACTGTTTCTTGCTGTTCCTGATAGACACTTAACCTTTAATGCAAAGTTAATATTGTGTCATAGAAACATAAAAAATAGTGGAACAGGATAAATTTAAAAAAAAGTTGAGTTTTTTTTTTCTGTAGCTATTAAGAACACGTCACTATTGAAGTAAATAGTAAACTTAAAAAAAAGAGTGATTATCCCTTTTTTTTGTTAGCTTTTCATTAGCTTACATTTTGACAGAAGCTATTACCAAGGTAACTTCCTAGGCACAGAAATAGGAATGTGATTTCTTTCTATTCATACATGGAGAAGAAATAATTGCAAAGAGCATGTTTAAACGTGGTGCTGATGATAACATTTCAATACCCTGGAAGTTATGACTCTTGTGAAACTGCATTTCATGAAAATGATTTCCCTACAGTTGCCTTTTTTTAACAAAAAACTTCTAGCTTCCACCACAAATTTTCTCCTTTTGAGATTCATCCTTCTAGCACACAAGCTGTCAGGGATGCTAGCTAAGCTGTGTGCAACTGAATTGTGTGGTTTAACATTTGGTTTTCTATGTTGTGTATTTTCTGGAGTTAGAGAACACACCACATCAAAAACTAAACTTGGGCTAAACAGCGTTGAGCACATTAAAAGTAATTCTCAATGTTTAGTTGAATGCATCAATCTTTTAACTAGGAAACTAAGATTCACTTCACTCACTGGAAGAATGCATAGATACTTCTTATTGACTTAGGAAAAAAAATCATATTGTTTTAGTGAATCAGAAATACAGCTTTATGCACATTACACCAGAAGTTTAATATGTGAAAACCATAATTAATTATCTGCATTGATGTGGTTTTTGTTCTTCCTTGCATATTTTAGATCTTTTGAAATGTATTACTGTTATTTATTTATTTATTTATTTATTTTTAAGTATGAAGTATTTGTTAACATTTCATGAACTTGTGGACTGAAACAAAGTAACAGCTGATTGATTTAACCTTGGCATGTCACTGTGACCAGTAAAGGTGGCAGGTGTTCGTTAAAGCACGCTTAGGTTATGTCAGACTTATGAGGTGAAAAGTTGATCTTTGAGCACTTGAGAGCATTGGCTTTTTTAGTCCTTGAGGGATGTAGTGGATTTGAGTAATGAAGGTTTCCACTGGTCGAGAGCTCGTTCTGTGCAAGAGAAGTAATCTTGAGCTATACCTAATTCTAACCAATAATTAAAAGAGAATAGCTGTAGTGGAAATACTGCTCGATGCCTGCTTCCTGATCTCCAGGGTGAAACTGATCTTCCTGGCCAAAATTTGAGCGTAATAAACCATCAGTGACAGTCTGTGCTGTTTGAACATTATGTTCTTTTAGGGGAATGCAGAAGCTCTTCTGAATTAATTAACATTCAGGAGTCTTAAGTTTAGCATGGGTATGGTCTGTTGTTCCAGTAATACATTATTACCAAATAGCTGACCTTTGAGGGATATTTCTAGATAGACCAAAAAAGTAGATGACTTGGTGACCTGCTTATTTCTGTACTTTGAAAGAAGGGATGTTCACAAGTTAGAACTTCATAGTGACTACTGTGGAAAAAGTTATAATGCAGTGACAAATGGTAAGTAATGATTGGGAAGGGGTTATTCTGTCTTCAGTTAAAAGCTCAAGATCTAGATCGCTTCATAATATTTTGAATAGTGCATTTCTGGAAAGTGATTATAAATTCCTACTCTCACCTCCAGTTATTAGAAATTGGGGACTCTAAGTCACTATTGTCTTGCTGCATTATCAGCTGATACGGAAAGTTACAAATAATTTTTCTCTTTATAACAACCTTTACATGTAGGAAGACATGGGTCTCGCAGGACAAAGTGCTTCCAGTGGCCAATATTTTCCAAGTTTTACTATTTGCTCTCTTCTAGACCATGTCTAAATTGACAGCAAAATCTTTGAAATATTAATCCAGAAGAACCTTTATCAGTATTATGGATAACATTAGAGTAGAAAATTACATATTGTACAGTACACATGGTACTCATATTAACTCATGGTGGTATGAGAATTGCAGGTTTTGAAAGTTAGTAACATTTTGGACTTAATTCAGCTTGTGATCCACAGTAACTGATGATCTTTCTCTGTTGACTCGCTGCTTACCTGGTTATTCTTCATCTTGCATTTGAATGTTTTAATTCTCCCTAAGCATACCACCACACGCTTTCCTTTACTGAAATCTATCTTGTGGATTTTTAGATCATATCTTCAATTTGTGAAAATAATTTTGTATGCTAATCTTGTTACCAAGATTTTCTGCTGTTTTAGTTCAGTATTACCAGACTGTTTTTTTGAAAATGCCCTTACTTTCCTCATTCCTATTTAGTGAAAATTGTAACTAGGAGCAGAAGGGGTTTCAACAAATTGCATCCATGTCAGATTCAGGTGGCACCCCACTGGAAATGTTCTCATTGAGGAATTGACTCAGCCTCTGAGAACAGAATTTTTGCTGTTGTACACATGACATATAGATAAAGCGTGTCTGTGTATTTTCCTTTTGAGAATGTTTGGTGAGATGTATCAATCACTAAAGCAAAGGTGGATCGCTGTATACTGCTTCCCTTTCACCACATCTCAAGTGACCCTGTTGAGGAAGGTTTTTTAAGAACAAATACAATTTTTGTTACAGCTTCAAATTCACTTTGGATTAAGACTGTAAAGATTTTCTGTTCAGCATATTTATCCTGATAAGCCTGGGGCGTTAGCAGTGTACTGTTTCAAAAGTCTGCAAACACAAGGAGCTATGTTTTTGTGCCAGCAGATTTTATTTTCTCTCCAATGTTTTATTTTGTGGATGGCAAAAACGATTCAGAGGACTCCTTCCACCACCTCGAAGGATTAATGCATTAAGCCTCTTTCTCTAGCCTTTTCTAAACTTGTGCAGCTAAAAGCTAATAAATACACTAATATCTTCTTCTCGTGTGGCTTACTGCACGTGCAAGGAAAGTGGATTGGACTGTTTTGAGCATTTATTAAATAGCCACCAGGTTTTTCTATGGTAGCGTAGTTTAGAAACTATTTGTTTGCTATCAATATTAGAGTTTTGACAAGTACATTGTTTTATTTTGTTCCAGCAACCCAAAGAGCTACTCATTGCTCTCTCTTAGGGACCTTTTGTGTGCAAGTAGATCATGTGAGTCCTAATAGGTCACAGTGAATAAATAGCTCAGCTGAAATCGCTGTGCTCAGAGTATAACAAAGGCTTTGTTCTGCTGGGCACAATGGAGCCAACAAAGAACAGTAGGAGGGTGATGCTAAATGCTATCTGTGTGAATTTAATTAAATACTAATGTGCAGTGGACTGCCAGGGAGGCTTGACAGCTGCACTACATTTGTCTGCCCTTGTTAGTCTCCCCAAAAGAGCATAATGATCACCTTGTCAGCTGATGTTTTTGCCATCCATGTGAAGTGTGTTTACAGAGGGAAATTAGTGTTAGTATTCAAAATCTGGTACTGTAGATGCACTGTAAATGCACTGTACTACTGTCTTACTCAGTTTCTTGCTTTCCAAGAAGACTTTTAAAGAGGACTCTGTCATCACAAAGTAATTTATTTTACAGTGTGAAAAATTTAACTTAATGATTTCAGGTCCTCCAGCTTCTTTTGGAGTATGTTTTCTACCAAAATGCATTTTTTGGGGGTGGTGGTACTGAAGCCTCTGTTGGAGAAGCATTGTGGTTTTTTTTTTAAAAATGTTTTTGTGCAGTTTTTGGAACTTCAGCTTTTCTCAACACAAGATGTGCTGCATATATTCTTTACTTTTCACTAGGTAGGGTTATTTCATCCAGGCCATTTTATTTGTGAAGCCGTAACCGTATTGGATGACAGTAGCTGATGGGTGTCGCTTCATCTGCTCTGTCTCCCTTAATTGTTGTCAGCTATGGGCAAACTATACATGTTTTAATTGCATTTTATTTGTTCTGAAAAATGTTTGGGGACTGCATGGAATTGTCCTTAGAATAAGGCTAGCCCATGGGAGCACTTTCCTCTAGACCTCAGACTCTGTGGGTCACTGGAAACCTTGCTGAAGAGATTGGCATGAAGACCAAACAAGGGGTTTTGTTGCAGCCTTACCCAAATAGCTTAGAAATTGGAATAATTTCTTCCCTGTTCCTTGCAAGTAGTTGGTGGATGGAGGAGAGGGGGAGAAGGTGAAATGGAGGAAGGAAAATATATCTTTTCCTGTTCAGACAAGAAACAGGAGGAGGAAAGAGATTCCTTTGTCAGTGTGCAGACCAGAGGAAAGGAGGAGCTGAGGGAAAGCAAGTTCAGGAGGAGGAACTTACTCATTCTGAACATCAGTTCTGTAATAGGGCTCTTCTGTATCTCCACTGGCTCAGTGCAATTTCAGCATTATTTTGTGGTTCTGTACTTTCAGCGGTGCAAAATGCATTGCAGGCTTACATTTTCTTTTCATGAGTTTCTTCTGCATACTATGAAATTTAAAATAACAGTAGGGTTTTGTGCAGTCTCTGAAATTCTACTTAATAATGGCAGAGTTGTTATTTTTGAAGAACAGGGCCATTTTATAAATACATACACTAGAAGTATGACTGTTTGCGGTGTTGTTTAAAAAATATATTGAAAGCATAAATGATTTTAGTGTATTGTATTATATAATGGGCCTGCAGCTGACATGTGGGAATTAGTATTCTGATCTCTTAAACTTATCAGAATGGAATGTAAAGGTACCTTCCTTCTATTTATAAGAGAAGATTTCTGTCAGTACTCGTTACCTTAAGATAAGTCAGGAGATACTTAGTGGAAGACAAGATTGTGTGTTAAAGCTAATTACTATCTAATGTAATGTAGCTGCAAGTGTCCTTAGTGAACAGTCTCTTGTTCCCTGATTTACCAGTCACAGTAGAAAGTGATCTCCCTCAGTTTCACGTTTCTGCATTGGAAGTACCATGCTTGAAAAAATACAGAAATAATAAATTTGAGTTAGTGTAGTGCTTATGAATCCTGGGAAGGAAATGATGCAATATGGGTAAGCTGTGTAGCATTAAGTTTTCCTTTTCTGACCTGCCAGTTCTTTGTAATCCCGTGTACAGAAACTACCTGGAGGGGGCGACAGGGCAGTTTTGCAGCTGTGACATCTCGAACCTTGTACATAAGGCTTCCTTAAACAGTTCAGATAAGAGGTATTTTTTAAACGTTGATTTCCTGCACGCTTGAGATGTGCCATCACTGGTTATCCACCACCTTAGCTGGACAGTTTATCCTTTGATTGTTACTAGTTGTTGTTGTAGTGCTGGTGGTCCAAGGATATGAGAGGCAAGGTATATGGGGAGAAGCATTATAGAGTGTTGTAAGGGGAGAAGTGGTCTGTTTTATTAAGCCTACTGATCGAAATATTTGGAAAAAGCATAAGAGCTTTTGGCATACAGCCATCATCCTGTATTCTTGATGACAAAGAGGATTGGTGTGATAAAAATCTTGACATTATTTCTTTGTGTTCCTCCCTGCAGATTTTATCAGTTTGGTTAGCAAAGGCTCTCTCCCTAAATATATCTTCTTTTGATTTACTTTTAACATTGGATGTATCTGTATGTGATGGTACGGTGTGGTTCAACGCCTTTGTGTACCCATAGTTGATCTAAATTTTAGGCCTTCTTTCCATGCATGAAATTTTGATACCGTCTGGTCAAGGGGCTATCAGTACTTCAATTGAATTTTCCCCCCTTTGTATTTATATTTTTTTATTGACATGTAAAAATCCTTTGGAGAGTTTTGATCTTTGACAGTCTGATTCTGTTCAGATTAGTAGGACTTTTGCGTTTGAATTCTTTGGCAACATGATTAGGATCTAAGTGCAATTTGTAATCATACCATAAAGCCAAAAGTTCCTTTTTCATACTACTTCCATGTTGTTTCTTAAACACTTCCTTAAGGCTGTATCCTTGTATGAACTGTCTTATTCTGGAGACTTCTATGGGTCTGTCCTGGTTTGAGGGTCCTTCTTCAGCTGTGTACAGTGTAACTGTTTTTTTAGTTTTGCTACATTTATCTGTTAATCTGAAGTGTGTTAACAAAAAAAAAGAAGTCTTGTAGAATGTATTTATCCAGGAAATGAGGTGGTTAAAGGTGCTTTGAAATATATGCATCCTAAGCATGTCACTGTCATACTGACTTTAAGAAATAGCTATATATATATATAATTATATGTATAGCTAAATATGTAGTTATACTTGCCTGATATTCCCATGGTATTGTCATGCATTTCATAGGCTTTGAAGTTGTGACTGGTGTGTGGGGCTTGTTTGGGTGGTTGGTTTTTTTTTTTTTTGCTTTTGTTTGGTTGGTTATTTTAACTGCTAAACTGGATACAAGCTTGTAATAAATAAATTCTCATCTCTTAAAAGGCCCCTTCTTACAGTGTTTAAAAAGAGTCCTTATTTTGGGATTGCATCTAACTTTTACCATGAGAACACACTGCTTTATCTATGTGGTTTTTTTTGTTTTTTTTAATTTTGTTACTGATTATCTTACAGCCTTATAGTTTTAGTTATAGCCCTTATGAAAGTATAGAGACAAAGATGTTGGAACAAAGCTTAACTATGGATTTTATGTAATTACATAGGCAGCTCATAAATAAATAGTTGAAATTTTTTTTGTAGATATCTTTCTCCAGCAATTATCAATATAGTTTCTAATTATCTAAAACCAAGTATGAAAACATCTGCATCTCACTTCTACTTAGGATAGTGAAACATTATTCTTTCTTTTTACAAGTAGGATAGTTAGTCTAACTTGGCACGATTGTTTTCTGCCTGGGCCTAGAGCTCAGTTTTTTGTGTGTCCTAATTTGCAATGATTGGAAAGGCTCTTTTAAAAGTTTAGGGTCTAATCTCAGTATTTCAGAGCAAGGAATTCTGAAAAATAAGATCTGTATTTCTGGTTTTTTTTTAGGGTACCTTTGAAAGTGGAACAAGCAAACAATGCTCGTGATGCTTTGGCCAAAACTGTGTATAGTCATCTGTTTGACCATGTAGTGAACAGGGTAAACCAGTGTTTTCCGTTTGAGACTTCTTCTTTTTTCATTGGAGTTCTAGATATAGCTGGTTTTGGTAAGTATACTTCAAAAGAATAATTATTTTTCCAGTTGTCTGTTACTGTCACCAAAGATTCAATGATAAATTCTGTAATGGAGAGTGGGAGGGTTTTCTTTTTGGTGATTGTGGGTGGAATGGCTTACAAGGGCTTAAGAAGACATCAAGAGAGCAGATAAAGCCTTATTTTCGTGAGCTACAAGAATGTAGATGAGGTCTAGAGCTTCTCCTGCTGACCTAGTAACACTAGCAAGCGGTAGTTTGAAGCTAGACATCTTTGTAATGATTTCAGATTCTTGTAGTGTCTCCATAGATGTAGCTTTTGAAGGACTAAAAATTTGGAATGGAGTCTTGCTGTGGCCACCCAGTAAAACTAGGAAAGATATTGCATGTGCATGCTGTTTTCCCATTCAGTCCTGAGAAGATCACTGCATACAGACAGATAGTCTCTGAATGAAGTCTCTGAATTAAGATACTGTTTCCTAGAGGATGGGTAGTTCTGTTACAGAGTTGGAATTCAGGCTGCTGGTTGCTCCCTGGAAGTCGTGGGCATTGATGGTTCCCGTAAAGCTTTTGTCATGTTTGGCTCCCTGAGATTCAGAATAGGGCATGTTAAGCTAAGGTGTTCTGAGAACTGTAAAAAAGGGAACCTTTGGTTTTCACGCCTTTAGAGCTATGATGTCCTGTGCCAGCCTGTTGTAACATGATGCATGAGGATGTGTTGGTACAGTTTCACTGTATGGTAGCATCTTGCTTTGGTTTGCTGCCAGTGTAATTGTATGTTATTTGTCATAGAAATATGATCTTCCACAGTATTTTTATGTGCCTTATGTGCAGCCTGATAATATGTAAAAGCTTTTATTTTACTGAAAGAAACAGATATGGATCTGAACATATCTTTAAATGTTAGCGTTGTGAAGCTTTTTCTTTCTTCTCTGATTCTGTGATATTTTCTTAGTTACTATCTAACAAATTCTTGGAACACTTTTTTTCATAGAAGTTTAACTTCTGTTTTTCAGAATACTTTGAACACAACAGTTTTGAACAGTTCTGTATTAATTACTGCAATGAAAAACTGCAGCAATTTTTTAATGAAAGGATTCTCAAAGAGGTATGTTATGTTTGAGGATTTATTTTTTTAGTAAAGAGATACTTAAGCACTGCTTTCCATAAGATTGCATATTATGCTTAGATTAAAAAAATTCAGTAGACAAATTGTTTTCCGACTGTGAGGTATCTGGTTGTACTATGAAAGAATATAGCTTTTTGAAAACCAACAATCTTTTTTCTTCTTTTTTATCATTCATTAAAATGAGACATCCTGATACTGGACAGTGTCTTATACCTAATGGGAATATCTAATTGCCTGGGCCTATCATTAAGGAGGTGAAGTTGGAATATATTAAACTGTGGAAGGAAATTCTAAAATATGTGTTGATTCATGCTGCATTTAAAAATGTCTTCATGTTTATTTAAAAAAACATTTTTGGTGGCTAAAAAAAGTGTATGGTGAGTGGTTGTTTATCTTTTAATTTTTTTTTTTATTATATTTTTTTTTAAGGAACAAGAACTTTACCAAAAAGAAGGCCTGGGTGTTAATGAAGTGCGCTATGTAGATAATCAGGACTGTATCGGTATGTGCTTCTTGAAATGTCAAGCTATTCGTTAGTGTCATGGAGAAAAAAGCTTCAAGCAGAAGAGGCAAAATATGCATAGCACTAGTAATTTTATACTTTTAATGACAGTTGCAACCTTGCAAATTCTTCCAGCTTTGTATAACATTCAAGTTCTAGTTGGTATTGTCCTAACAGTGTGTAATAACTGCAGCTGGGACTTCTGAATTTCTTGTGCATTTTCCTAGGAAACTAATTAGAACACCTAAATAGGGTAAATAAAGTGAAAAAGTGTGTGAGGGTGTCTGGGGAAAAATATTCCGTGAATTAAAAAAAAAGTAAATAATCCCATCCTATTCCCCATACCTTTTTTTGAGCCAATGAGCACATAAACAAAATGAACTATAGGCAACAGGCTGTAGATGTTTGCTGCTTTTAGGCTTCTACAGACTGGTACACCAGAGGCTTTTGTGATCAAAAGTTCATCTTGCTTTTGCGTTTATGGTAATTTGCTTATGGCAAGTAGTCAGTCCTGGCTGAGCAGAGGATTCAGAGTGACAGAAATCAACATCTGTTGCAAAATGTCTGTTTTTTCTGAGTTTCTGTAGCTATGCTGAAGAAGTTTTCACCTTGTCAGATAGGACTGTACGGTCACTAACTCTGACTTTACTAATGACAACTCTTGTCAAGCAAACCTCTTAGCCATCTTGTGAAAAAGCAACAGGAAGGTATTTGGAGGAGGGAACAAAAGTGTAGCATCAGGAAATAGGTGACTTCTTTAATAATGTGTTTAGCAATGTGTAGATGAGCCTGAGCTTGTTCCCAAAAATGTTGTTATAGTTTAGAGACTGTCATGTTTCTTTTAAAAGGATTGCTTCCTCCCCAGTGCATGTGTTTTTTGAAACATACCTCAGGATCAAAAGGGGTTCCCTGGTGCCTATTGGAAGACAAGGTCTCTGTCTGACTCAGTGGGAAAATGGGTCAGGTTGTAGAGACTGTTGCCAAGTTGTTGCCTTTTCCTGCCATATAAAAGATTTGGGCAGCTTACCTAAGAATGTAAGTAGCAGTCCCTCAGTCATGACCCCTTTTCCTATTCCAACCAACATTGACACTACACCACAGATTTGACACGTTTCTTCATTGTACGAGTTATTCTTAGGTAAGAATAAAATTATAGCTTAGTGGCATGTTTGGCATGTTTTCCTGTTTCCTGTTCTTGCATAGTCAGGAGAAAAGGATTTTCTACTGCCTTTTGAAGTGGGTGAGAAAAATATTGTTGTTTTCTGTCAAAATATGATTTTGTTTAAGGTGTTGGACCAAGCCAGTGACTGTCACAAAAGAGAGTGTTACTATGTTGACATGAAAAAAATTTTAACACTGTGGAAGAAACTTAGAGGCAGTCATTGCTATGTTAGAATGTTTTGATGGAATGGTAGTCATTTCTAGCTAAATTAGCTTGTTCAGATTTTATAAGCATAAATTCTTTAGATCAGGGCTATCTTTGTGTTTTATATATAGTCTCATAGTGTTTATGATCTGTGGTAAGTGTTCATAGGCATTGTTGCAGTACAAGCATTAGTCATTTCTTCCTTTCCACAGGAAAAAAAGTAGGTAGTGAAAATTTCTTTTACAAGAACAGTTTCATAGACAATGCAAGAAAGTTTTAAAAGCTGCAAGATTCTGGTGTCTAGTAGTTTCAAGAGCATGAATTTCTATGTCAGCTTTCAAGGGCTTTTGTGTGTGCATGTGAAAGGGCAAGGAAATACATTTGTAAAAAGCTGTGGAACCACCGCTGTATGCTCAAGGCTGATCTGCCTTTCTTAAAACAATCTCATTTCATTTTTCTCCCTGGATCCTGTTGTGAATGAAAGTATGTGCCTTTTCATGCTTTTAGTTTTGACATGTGCTAAAACATGGATTAAAAGCTTTAAAAACCCCCCAACAATATAAGCAATTATCCCATAATGACCTATGGTTGTACCACAGAAACATTTAGGCACCTTATGGGAATTAGATGACTTAATTCAACTTGAGACCCAGAGTAAAAATCAAACAATCCGTGCCTGATCTGTTTTCCTTGGTGTTCTTTGTGTGAGAGTTAGAACTTCGTATGTATAGTATATCGATTAAATCAGCAATTCGGATACATAGAGTTAATTTGCAATGACTTTTTGTATTTTGTGTTAACAGCTTTCCCTAGATACTGTTACACAGAATCAGATCAGTAGCATTTTAAACTTGTAATGTTCGGCTCTGATGTGAGGTTATATATCCAATTTTTGTAAACATATTTTGTTTTATTAATAGATTTGATTGAAGCAAAATTAATAGGTGTACTGGATATTTTGGATGAAGAAAATCGTCTTCCCCAGCCAAGCGACCAGCATTTTACTTCAGTTGTGCACCAAAAACACAAGGACCATTTCAGACTCTCTGTAGGTTTATTTTTGCTGTCTGTCTTGTTTTAATAAAACAGTTCTTGGAACAGTTGATAGTAACACTTCAATATAATGAAAACCTTTCCTAAGAAATCTCATACCAAACCAGTCTGCACAATCCATATTCTTTTGTTAGGGACAAGTTTGGTTATTAGGTTTGTTGAAAAGTTCACTGGAGGCTTAAGTCTTCTAGGAATTTTAATATCCCTGCTGAAAATAAAGCCATATTCTTCACTTACATTTGAAGTTTGTTACCATGTAATGCATGAAAAGGAAAAACCCCCACATTTTAATTAAGATTATTTAATATCAGATGAGCTATTTTGTTGTTCCTTTCAAAAATTGCTTGCTTTGGAGAATATCTGACTCACATGGAGTGTCTAGCTGTCACTTCAGAGATGAAAATAGGGAACACACAATGAAAACTTTTTTGTTTTTCTTAATTCTTTAACATACAGCACTCTGTGGAAGGTTAATGCAAATTATTGCAATTTATGTACATGACTTTTGTTGAAATGCAAAAAAAAAAACCAACAACAAAAAAACCACACCCGCACAAAACAGTTAGTTCCCTCCTGAAAAAATCCAAGCCAAGGGAGCCAAATAAAATAAATAAAATTATCATCCATTTAAGTCTCCACTTAGTCTTGCTTAACTGGATTGCTATGCAATGAAGCGTTTTTGTTGGTATGTGTACGATCGCCTAGGTAGATGCCTTTTAAAATATACCATCTAAAAACGTATTTTAAGCTTCTGCCTAATCCTGTTTGTGTGACAAGGCTATTAATCAGCTGTGGAATGAATGGCATAGCAATTTGTCATTAAAGGCAAAAAGAAAATCAACTAGCTGGTGTTAGCAATCCTAGTGACTTTTACTTTGAATGTGAGGTATCTAAAGGTGTGAATGAGAGCGAAAATAGATTTTTCAAACATTTTGGTTTGAAAGGGAATGGCAGTGGTCATCAAAACTGTACTGCAAGAAATGTCATTTTAAACACCCAGTGCTCCTGGCAGAATCACGGTGATGTTTTAAGAATAAACTTTTCCTTCCTCTCCAGTGTAATTCTTTGTAATTCAACTTTTTAATTCCAGATTCCTAGAAAGTCTAAATTGGCTGTTCACAGAAACATCAGAGATGATGAAGGCTTTATTATCCGACATTTTGCAGGAGCAGTATGCTATGAGACGGTAACTTTACTTACACAAAACTATTTTTGTTGCACTTTGTAGTACTTTTATATTTTTCAGTGTATATTGGTTAAATAACAAAATTTCCTTTCATCAGAAGAGAAATTGAAAAGTTGGTATGTCTTAGCTGTGGCAGAATCGACAGTTCTTTAACTTCTCAGATTACAGACTGTTTTGGTGACATATTTTGGTGACATACATTTTGTGTAAGAGTTTGTTATAAATCTATGGGTAATGGTGCCAATATTAACTATACTGATTCATGATGTACTGCAAATATTACATTAACAGACATTTGCGTCTTGGAGAGAGGAATGTAATATGTGATATATAAGTATTGTTAGACTTAAGAGTAACCTTGTGGAGGCGTGCTTATCCTTGTATGCAACCAGTCTTTATGTTATATTAAAAATCACATTCTATACTTTTGTTTTCCATTTCTACTGGCAGTAGAATTATTCATGTGAGAATATGAAATACTTGAAACTGTTACTCAAAATACATTGCAGATTCTAGTACTTTGAGTATTCATTATACAAAAACATTGAAAGACTTGACTAATTTCTGAAACATGTTTTTTTTTTTCAGAAATAAGAGTTTAGGATAAACAAAAGATCCATAATGCTTTGTTGTTCTGGTCTGTAACTCCAATGTGTAAGAGGGAAGCTACTTCCAAAGATGTTTCTTTGTCATTTGAAAACGCGTACTTTAAGGGCTGCTTCTTATTTACTTCAAAATGCTCCAAGAATGATAATGATTGCTGTGCTGTTTTGAAGTAGGCACATTCTGTAAGTCATTTGACAACCGAGAAAGAAAATTGAAGTCTGTGTGTTACCTACCTGATTTTTCTGAGGTCACTCAGTGAGTCAATATCAAAATAATAAATAAAATTGGAACACATTTGTTCCAAGTGCTCTGTGTTGAACTGTGTACCTCATCATGATATATTAATAATACCTTACCGTGTCTTCAGGAACAGAGGAGCCAGATATGAGAACATAAGCTCTGCTGTCAGAGCTAATCAGATAGGAGGTAGCTTTGGTCCAGAAGCTATGCTAATATGCTTGACTTAATTTATCCCCTCCCTCAGAGGGACTTCCTTAGTCTGGGCCTTAAAACTTTTGGACTATAGCTGCCTTTTACCTCACCTGTCACTTGTTTCTGTTTCTCACTACACTTGTGGCAGTTCTCACAATCTGATTTGCGGCGAGGATGTTCCTCTGGCTGCATTCATATTCCATTCTTGTATTTTCATAGTCCAGGGGAATTTTGGAGGCCCATGTTTGTTCTTTGATTCTCATCAGCATTAGATCCTTTTATGGTATATCTGCCAAATTTGTATTTTCTTCTAATTAGTCTTGGCCTCTTCTGTTCATAAATATCAAAGTCACGATTAAAGTTGCATCAAAAGCTATAAGAATTTTGTTAGTGTGAAATTGGATACTAGTGTCTTGATTTCGGAATTTTGGTGTAATGTATTGTTCTTCTAAAAGTTAATGAGACAATTTAAATAAACCAGAGAGGTAAGGTTTATAGGAAGGGGCAATATCTTTTATTAAATCAACTGTTCTTAAATAGTCATATTACTACTAAAATAACCATTTTTTATTTCATTTTCCAAACTGTGTAGATGCACCAATTAAAGTGTGCATAGTAATTCCCATTTTACAACAGATCTTAAGTGATATTGCAAGCAGTGAAGAATTAAGCTTTTCAGAACTCCGAAGTGATGATGTGCTGTGTGCTGGAAGTGGAAACAAGGAGGATAATCATTGACAAAAACACAACTGATCTCTTAAAAGGCACTAAACCTTACCTTGGGTTTCATGATTCCTTCATCTTTCAAATTTAAGAATATCTTTTTTCTGTCATTAGTGTTGTGTGTGAAGTTGAAAAATTATTTGAAATAATGTTTGAATATTTATACCACATATTCTTGCTGCTTTTTGAATTAAGTGTATAACATTGTTTTCTTTAATTTTCTTTAAGACTTAAGTAACTGGGTCAGTGAAACAAATGTACTATTATTTTTTGGGTTGTCTTTTCAGATGCAATTTGTGGAAAAAAACAATGATGCTTTGCACATGTCCCTCGAATCTCTTATATGTGAATCCAAGGACAAGTTTGTTCGACAGCTATTTGAATCTAACACTAACAACAACAAGGATCCCAAACAAAAAGCTGGGAAGCTTAGTTTCATCAGTGTGGGAAACAAATTCAAGGTAACATAATATAGCAAAGAATCTTATCATCTTGTAATATATGTCACTTTTAAGTTAACTGAAATAAGCACAACCTAAGGTTGGGAGAAGTAGTAGTGACTTAAGATTCATACAAAGAAAAATTTGTGAAATAGACCTTTTTTCTATTGATTTATAAGAAACCACTATATTCAAGCTACATGCTATGTGTTTCTGTCAAAAAGATGTTTCATAATACTCCTTACAGAGTTTATACAGTAATTTTTAAGTCAGAATTTTGCAAAGCCACAGAAGTCCTTATTCAAAAGGTTTAAAGGCTTGAGATCCAAGTTTTGATTCTGTGGACTTTAAGGGATTCTAAATGTGACAAAAGGTGTTCTTCTGTCATATCTTCATTGTGCATTCTAGAAGATGTATTAATTGGCTACAGTTTGCCATTCTCAAAATTCAATACCTAACCTAACCACTGGTTTTCCTCTTCTAAAATACAGTCATGGCTTTCGCAGAAAGATTTTCATTGTACTGAATGTTTCCTTTCTTAATACCTGAATCTGATGCTTCTCCTCATTTTCTCCTTTCTTCTGCTTGTTGTAAAGCTGATCTTCAAACCTTGTCTTCTCCAAATGTTTTCTTCATCCTTTTGTCATTCAGCAGTTTTATTTTAGCTGGACTATTCCAGCTCAGGATGGCTAGAAAGAGAACTATAGGGGAATTAAGAGATGAAAAGCAGGCACAACCATGGGCTGCAGGTAAATTTTTCAATCTCGTGGATTTACTGTTGGTAGAGCTGCTGCAATTTCAGCAAGAGCTCTTCTCAAGACAACTGGGCCAGATCCAATGAAGGATTTATATGCCTTCAAGTCAAGTGCCACAACATTTTTGGTATGCTACCTTACCTAGGACACCTAAAACCCCACATCATGTTCCTAGCTAGACTACCCAGTCCCTGGGGAAAGCAGGTATCTTAACCCAAAAACCTTCTTGTAGAGTGGGGCACTGCCAATAGCAGAAGAGCGTTTCTGCATTTCTGTTCCATGTCAAGGTTTAGTGCTGAATTGGGACTGCAAGATAAATTCCTACTTGCATAATCATATCTTGTGGCTAGTGTTTAGAACTGTTCTTTAAAATGCAGGGGCTGAAAACCAGGAAGGATATGGTAGCAGCACTTGCCTTTTGTATAGCAACAGTATTCTGCTTCAGGTTGTCAGGACACAGGTCTATACTGTATTTAGTGTTCTATGTCTACTGTATTTCTTGTAGCGCCAAGTTATTGGTCGATCTGACATAGGGGTTTCTCCTTGTACGTTTCTGGAGATGGGTTGTTATGTAGCCAGCAATTAAATTTTAATGGGGCCGGGAAGAGTAAGAGACAGAGCCTGACTGCTAAGGTGGTAGTTTTGGTATTTAACTGGGCAGCCTTCTCTCTTGAGTTTTGCTCTGATGATAATTTCCTCCTCATTATATAGTGGTTGTAGAATTAAACAGTAGCAATTGGTTTAATATAAAATGCATGATCAGACTGAAAAATGGAATTATATACAGATAAACCATCTCTCCTGAGCAAGCCCTGCAACCATGAGTCTATTGTAAGTGAAGCTAGGATCCTTTTTTTTTTTTTTTTAATAACTATGTTTTCAAAATAAAACCAACTGTGGGGTCTTTGAGATAATTTACACTTTCTTCCACCTGGGTTCTGAATTCCTCTTGGATTTGGCACCTCATGTCCAATAGATGCGGACATGTGAATGACACCATTGTCCGAGGAGGGCTGAAGTAAAAAGGGAGACATTTTTTTATGTTAAGGAGCAATTGAGTGGGAAACTTCTTGGATTGCCTTTTGGACTTTGGTGTTCACCTCTTCACCTAGAACATGACTAAAGTCCTCTTTGGATCTGGCCCATCAATCTCTAATTCTTTCAATGTTTTCAAGTTTCATGGCATTTTGAATGTATGTGTTACTTCCAGTGATTCATTTAGTGTTACTTTCCCAGACACAACATGTGTGCTGATGAACACTAATAGCCTTGAAAATTTCACTTCAGCTGACATCAAAATAAGTTCCATTATCTTAGCAGAAATTTCATTCTTAATGCGTCAGTATGTAAGTCAGTCTTGAACTCTTCTAATTACATCAGTTATTAGATGATGTTGCAGGGACTTCTCTGTATGAAATTCTTCACACATCCCTTCCTTGTAAGTAATTAAAATTAATTCACATAAACCAGTTGAGGAAATAATGATTAATTAGTTCATCAGATATACTCAAGAATCTTTGGGATAATTTTACCTTAATGCCGTAATAATGGATTAAATTGTCATAATTCAAAGAGCAGTAGTTTTAGCAATGTTTTATTCATATGATCATTTAATTAGTGAAATTTACCTGAGAATGGCTCTGGCTTATTTCTTCTCAAATCACAGAGCATAAGGAAGGGGTATTTTTCCTCTAACAGAAACGTATTTTGTTGATGGAAATTAGGCTGTCTCCTCCAAAATTAAGCATTTCTAACTTAAGAAAATTTAAAGAGTATATTCAAGTAGAAATAAAGAGTGTGTGTAAGTGAGAACCAAGCCAGAGGTTATTAGTGTTTGTCATGCCTCTTGTGACATTCCTTTCTTTCTAACCATATCTATGATAAATTAAAAAAAGCTCAGGCCAGTTTTATCCACTGGAAGGATGACTGGCAGCTGTAGGTGATGCCTATTGCCCATACAAATTTGGTTTCTTGGATTCAAGGTAATTGAAAGATCTGGTTTAAAAAAATAATAGTCAAAAGTTGGGTCATTTCAATTTTGGTTCGAGCACAGAAAATGAGGAATATGTTAGGACATACAGAATTTTGTCTTACTTCAGTCTATATACTTTATGCTTGCTAGTAAACTAGAAAGGCTGGCACAGCAGTAGTCTATGTGATAAAACAGACACATCTGTTTCCTGATGTGGTTCTGGAGTATATTGAGTCCCTACCAGTTACATTCAATAGCAACTGTAACTTGTTTTCCCTGATATCCTTAAGTCTCTGGTGATCCGGTACGCTTGCCCCCAAATAATCATAGGACTGCAATCTTTTCTCGTCACGGTGTGTTTAAATCCAACCTCAGTAAATGTGACTTTAAAACTATAGTCTTGTCATCAAAGGAGAATTAAAAATTTGGAAGTTTGGAGTTAAAAATAGAGTATGCAAATTCATTCACCGAACTGTTGACTTAGCTTCAAAAAAACCCAAGAAAACCCCAAGCATATGTGTTTTCTGTGTTAATTATTTAATATACAAATATATATTTGCTAGAGGTTAAATTTGGGCTTTCACAAATTTTCAGTGTATTCTTTTCTTTATTATTGCTGATCAGTCTCATTTTCTTCATAACTTTATTACATAGCCATTATTTCCTTTATTTTCCCAAATGGGCTTGCACTTTTTTTTTTTATAACTGTGTTTTGGTAAGTATCTAGTCCATTCAGTATTGTTGTACAATTCAACACAAGCAATTCCCTCAGGACCATTCATGCACACTTGCATGATTTTGTCTGTTAAAATTTGTGAATGTTTGATTTATCAATTCTGTTTGATTTACTAACCATGAACATGCATGCAGTAATGATATACCAGTATTCCGTGTGTATATTTCTGTAGTTGTCATGGTAAGACTCTTGAAATACCTGTTTTGTTTTACAGACTCAGTTAAATTTGCTTCTTGAGAAGCTTCACAGTACTGTAAGTATATATACAGATGCAGGTTCCTAATTTTCATATTCGATTATCTCGATATGTCTTACAATAAATGTGATAAGTAATTACTTAATTATGTGGCACTTTTGAAATGTCTTGCTATACAAGTGATGTGAGTTACTTTAAAAAAACCCCACTACCTTTAAAAAAAAACCCCAAAACGTTGTAGAATGACAGTTACACAGTTTGAGTAAACAATACGAAATCTGTCTGGGCTGCAACCTACTTTTTTGTCGCTTTTACTTCTTTGCATTCACTGGTTATCGTTGACTAGTTTGCAGAAGATTTAAAGATGTTATTTACAAGTAAGGCAAATAATTTCCTATTAATTTCTGTTTGTAGAGTCCATAAAGCTGTTAAAATGTTTCACTTTTGTGATAGGTTCTTTGACAATCTGTGCATTTACAGCCTAATTCCCCTAATGAGTGTTTGCTAATTTAGTTGATGTAATTTGATAGTTTGTGGAATTCTCCATGTAGTTCAACATACAATTTTTTTTTTTTCCAGAACTTGTATTTGTAGGAACACATTCTTGTTTCTCTTGACTTCATGGTCTAGGTCTAACCAATTCTAGATATGAAGTTATGCTCTGTCAAAAAAAGCAAAAGGGGAAAAAACATGGGAAACAAATGGGACAAGTGCTGCAGTGTAGCCAATATTAAGATTTTACTGTACTCATAAGGCTGGTCTGAAAGAAAGATGATCTCTTTCACACAGAACACTCTGGAACTGAGACCCAGTCCAGGGAAAAAGTATGTGGCCAGACTTGCTGTACTCTGAGCTTAGCTAACCCATAACTGAGGATGTGTTGTTAATATAGAGCTCCCTTGGCAGGTGCTCTCTCACTCTCAGCTGAGAGATGGCAAAAGAGAGAAGACACTGCAAACCAGGAGTAATATTATGTTCTCTCAGTCCCAATTTTGTTTTAGTATATAAGGTAGGTTATAATTAGCAGCCACCTGTTATAGGAAAATCTGAATAACTGGGTGGGGTTTTGCAAAAATGTCATTCTTAATGAATGTGAAATCATCAGAGAAAGCAGTGGTCAAAACTGTAGAGACAGCACACATGGTGGTAAGAGCAGACTGGAGCAACATGGGGGAAGGGAGAGTGAAGCCATGAGCCAGAAGAAATTGTAAAAAGTAAAAGTTAGAAGAAAGGAAAGTCGAGTTCATGTGACATAATTCCAATGTCAGGAGGCTGTTAGAATGTTCACTGATGTGAACGCTGGAGGACTGAGGCATTTAGGTGATGTGACTGTAGAAGACAATGATAGTAGTAGAATCTAGACTGCTAAATTTTAATCAGATTGTACTAATGTTAAGAACAACAACGGTTGAGTGAAAACTCAGAAGTTGAGGATCCAATTAATAGCTTGAGCATTGAGATCAGTTATATCAAGGCCAAGGCTAGAGTGAAAACATGATATATGAGAGAAAAAGAATGTCAGCATTTCTCTTTTAGAAAGCTATTATTTTGTATCTTTTTCTTTTTTCCACCCATGATTCTTGAATGATTAACTGTTATTTCAGGAGGTTTAAAAATGTGTAGATTCTGCTAACTTCTTCTTTTGGTAATAGGGATCTAGCTTTATTCGCTGTATCAAACCTAATTTGAAGATGACAAATCACCATTTTGAAGGAGGACAGATCCTCTCTCAGCTTCAGTGTTCAGGTAATGTATGCCTCTGATACTTTTCCCTCTATTTATTACTTTGGGCAGTATAGATTGATGTCAGTTTGAAATATGTGAGATGGAAGCAATATTTCCTTGCTTGAACTGTTGCTTTTTAGAAGGTAGCTTATTTATGCCTTATGAGCAGTTATTTTGATTCTTAGTAACTTAGCTCTTGTTTAAGTCAATAGAACCCTAAAAATAATTCATCTGAACAGCCGTAAGGTCTCTTCTTTGCAAGAAGAGTTGGTGCCAGGGGGATGGGATCAGTCTTTTTTCAGTGGCGCCCAGTGATAGGACGAGGGGTAACGGGCACAAACTTGAATGTAGGAAGTTTTATCTTAACATGAGGAGGAACTTCTTTACTTTGAGGGTAGCAGAGCACTGGAACAGGCTGCCCAGAGAGGTTGTGGAGTCTCCCACTCTGGAGACATTCAAAACCCGCCTGGACGCCGTCCTGTGCAACCTGTTGTAGGTGACCCTGGTCTGGCGGGGGGGTGGACTAGATGATCTCCAGAGGTCCCTTCCAACCCTGACCATTCTGTGATTCTGTAATTTGCATCAACTGTTTTTCTGTTGATTATAATGAGAGTTCAGACACCAGCTGCATATGTAAGAACCTGTGTAGCCATGTATTGGTACATAAATTTAGATTTCCTGACCTGGAGCTGAATTCCATAATAAGGCAGTAGTTCAGTCCAGAACAATGTAATTTGTTTTATATTGCTGTAGCAGTTGAAGTGTTAGAAATTCTGTGTACATTTAGAGGAAGTCGGTGTTAGCTGAGATATCACATCTGTTTTCTTTGAATTTATAGATACTATGGTAGAATTGAATTGTCTTGGTTCGCTTTTTCAAAATCTCTTTATACCACTGTTAATTTGATTTGGAACTGAACTTCCAACAAGGGCACTTCAACATATTCTTTCCTGTTGCTTTATATACTACAGATTGCGATGCTTCATTTTCTTGAAATGCTAGGTGCTTTCCAATTTTACAGCTTTATTGTCAAGGATGAATATTAGCGTTTCGCTCATGCCCCACTGGACAGTAGAAGGAACTGCTTGCTTGGGAATTACAGTGCTAGTATTGTTCATTTTTCTGTATTTTTCTGTATTTTCATATTTTTCATATTCATTTTTCTGTATTTTTGTACTTTCAGCAGCTTGTGCTTAATTTTTTCTCTATTTGTAGTTAAGATAACTTCAAGGTCCTGCAGCTGATATTTTGATGAGTCCATATATTTAACATGTCATGTTATCGTCACAAAAGCTTAACTTTTCAGCACTTAGAATTTCCATTAACATCGTTAGCAGTAGGTCTCTTCAGATTAAGTGCATTTGGCATGTCAGAGAGGAAAAAATAACAAATTAAAAACCCCCCCCCCAACAATAGCAATGCTTTACAGTAGTCTTACAGGCTCACTTTTCCGTATGTGTTGAGCAACAGTAAATGAAGCTTAATCTAGTAATATGGAGTTATAATATGTAAAGTTAAAACAGCAAGATTTAATGCTATAACATATTTTTTGAAAAAGAAAGACTTAATGTAAACAAATCAAATTTTCATTGAAAGCAAATATGCAAAAAATTCCATTTAAAGACAGGAATCACAAGTTAAGGGCTAACTGAAAAACAAATATGCAAAATCTGTTGATAGGGTTATGTAAAGAAGTGGCAAAAACTGGCATGGCCTGTGCTGCTTGAACCTTTTACTGACTTTGTGTCTGTGCTTTACCAATGTCCTAGTTGCAGCCAAACATTAAAATGGGATGTTAAAATTGCAGTTTAGCAGTTTATACCTCGTATTGTAAGTACACTGAATGTTCGAGCACTGCATATGTATTTGACGCTGTATCTGTAGCTCGTCTCACAGATATCATTGATGTGATGAAACGAAGGGCCTGGCCAGGCATTGTTAGCTTTTTTGGTTATTTTTCTTTAGAAATTAAAATGTCAAGTCTTCTAAAAAAATATTTACAAGAAATACTAGAAACAAATTCTAAATGTGATTGGCTGTTACTTCTCAAATAAGGAGAAAATTGTATGTGTTCATGTCATCTGTTCAGTAGTAACTTTTTTGTGAATGATCACATGATCAAGAAATATTAGAGGCTGCATCAAGTCCCAGCTGAACTTTGTGGTTTGGTCTGAACAACATCTTTGAAGCTTATGTCATAAACTATTGGTTATCAAAAAAATCACTGCTTCCTTTTCATTTTACTGATACCAACTTTTGTGTATGTGTTTCTATGAATCTAGGAATGGTGTCTGTTCTGGATTTGATGCAAGGTGGTTTCCCTTCACGAGCTTCATTTCATGAACTATATAATATGTACAAAAAATACTTGCCTGAAAAATTGGCTCGACTGGATCCTAGGCTTTTTTGCAAGGTAAAAAAGAAATTCATTCTTCTTCTATATCATCCAGGACAGAAAGTGTATTGGGGGGGGGTTGTGTGGTTTTGAACTTTTTTTTTTGTTTTTTTGAAGGAGGCAGAATATAACCCGAACTGTTTTCTGTGTTTCAGGCACTATTTAAAGCCTTGGGACTGAATGAAAATGATTACAAATTTGGGTTAACCAAGGTGTTTTTTAGACCCGGCAAGGTAATGTTTCTCTTGGAGTTCATGAATGTGAATCTAAGAATAATTTTGGTTGGAAGGGAGCTCTGAAGGTGGCATTGCTCAACACATTGCTAAAAATGCAGCCAACTTAAATAAGGTTACCCTTTTTTTTTGTTTTTGTAAATACTGTCCATTTTCCATTAAAAAACCCCCAAACTGATAGACTCCTGTTGACTTAAAAAGAGCAAGTCAGAGCAAAGGCAAAATATTTTCTAGTAAAATCTATTTATAGCTGAAATCTTTCTGTGATTCTGAGTATTGCTGCTGCTATGCAGAGTAAGGAGGGAAAGTAGGGAGCTGTTGTGACTAGAAAGGAAAATTATAACACAAGAATGTTCTTACTGTCATAATTACTGAAAAGTAGAAGTACAGGTTTTTCAGAAAAAGTTGCCTTTAGTTGGACATTTACACAAAGGTTAAAAAAGGCCGGAGTACGTGTTCAGGATGTAGAGAAACAATTAATTTTCAAAAAAGTTGGCAATAAATATTTTTAGTGATTAATAAGTGCTTGGATTATTCAAAGTGCTGTGTTGCACATCAGTTAAACAGAAAAACAAACAAAAAGCCCCAGTAGACATTTTTTGTTACCATTAAAGAATAAAGTGATGCCAGACATACCTGCTCACTTGAATTAATTGAAAGCTGATATAATGACATAGTTTACATTAAAAATATTTTACCTTTTTAAGTCAACATCCTCGTAAATAATAATGTCTAACCTCCTCTGTTGTCCTAATTTGTAAACCGTTTATTTCTTTATTTATTTAGTTTGCAGAGTTTGATCAGATAATGAAGTCTGATCCGGATCACTTAGCAGAGCTAGTTAAACGAGTGAATCGCTGGCTTATCTGCAGTCGTTGGAAGAAAGTTCAATGGTGTTCCCTCTCAGTGATTAAATGTATGTATTCGATGTTTTATTAAATCAAAATGTTTGTTAATAATACAGAAAAGCAATTTTTATCACCTTGAAATGTGGCTAAGGACACGTATAGCAGATAGTTACATACTAAAGTCTGAGTCATTCCTTTCAAGGTTGGTGAGATTATTTTTTTTATGCTTTATGTTAGGTACATATAGGGGGGCTTAGAGCAGAGGTTTTTAAAAGCGGACCGTACAGCCCACCACCAGTCTCCTGTGTCCAGTCTGCTTGGGTGCTTACTGAAGCCTGGGTAGACACTTGCAGAGAAATAACTAGCTCTCACGGGTCTTGCAGGGGAGAGACTAAATACATCA